AATATCTTACAAATTGTACACAAGATTCTATCTTGTGAATTACTCTCGTTAAACAATTCCATGCTCATTTGTGAATGTTTAGTTCATGCTTGAATTCTTAGAACACGTCTCTTTAATTTACCTAGGCAACATACAAAAAGTACTGAGCAAAAATCAGGATTTCCCTCAGCAACATTAGATATCTTTTACAGTCAATCCAATGGCTAACCCTACATAAAGCAACCATGAATAACATTTTCTATGATGAAGCAAGGAGATTGATCTGTAAAACATACTGGAATTTTATACAATGAAGCAAGGGAACAAAGGAGCTGGACATTACTAAGCAATAGTGATAGAAATGTAGCCATGTTAGTCTGGTGTAGCTGAAACAAAAAACAGGACTATGTAGCACTTTAAAGACTAACAGGATGGTTTATTAGGAGATGAGCTTTCATGAGTCTGGCCCACGAAAGCTCATCACCTAATAAACCATCCTGTTAGTCTTTAAAGTGCTACATATTACTAAGCAAAGGATGCTTCTGAGATATTCCATGCACCAAAATGTAAAGGAGTTACCTAAAATGCTATCAACCGAGTGAGCTGAATCTTGAAGTACCATTTAGAAGACTCCAATTTCTTTCATAGTATCTTTGTAGTTACTTACATAGGCTACATCTAGACTGCATTGCTTTTTTGGGATACCAAAGGTATCCCGAAAAAGCAATGTCACGTCCAGAGAATGCACCTACTTGCTTTTTCAAAAAAAATTTCAAAAAAGTGGACACGCTCTTTCGCCATCACTGTAAACCTTATTCTATGAGGAATAAGGGATATGTCAAAAGAGCACTTTCTTTTGAAATTTGGCGCCATGTAGATGCGCCAATTTCAAAAGAGCCTCTTTCAAAAGTAAATCGGAAAAAGATACACCATTTGTGTATTGCAAATTGCATTTTTCCAATTTAACATTGCAGTGTAGCACTTTCTGGAAGACCCCATGCTACAAAAATTACGACTGCTATAGCAGCAGCAATCAAATCTAATAGAAGATTTTCTAACGCTGTTTCTGAGCCTCAGTCCTGGAACCTGTTTCGTAAAGGTGCACACCTACACACTCACGGGAACTCTTTACTTCAGTGGGGTACTGCACAAATGTGGAGTTGGCTTATGCAGAACAGGTTGCAGGATTGGGCCTACAGCTGTGGAAGAACAACCTTTTAAATAAGGCAGGCTAACTGCACACACTAGTTTTTATGTTTTGTTTCAACCATTTTTTCTTTTGATGCTTCTCCACCACAGAAATTAACCCTTGTGATACAAACTCATCCTGGATGTAAAACCACTAGAGAGAACCCAGTGGCTGATGACCTGTGGTTCCTACTGAGCTTAAAAGAATTGGAACTATAGGTTCACAGCAATAAAGACGAGCTCTTAAAAGAGCGTAGCAAGTGCAGAAGATAGTTTGCAGGCTCCTTGTCATACACAGGCTATATATCTAATGCATATTAACAAAACCCAGTTTACTTTGAAAAGTAAAGGGAAACATGCCTTGATCAGAAAGAGCTAGTTACTATCTGCAATATAATTTTAATTACTATGCCTGTGTAACCCACACAGCTAGACTTCATCTATACTCCCGGTTTTGCTGGCAGGGAGTATGCAAATGAGGCGTGGATTAGCATATCACTGCACCTCATTTCCATAAATTTATGCAAGCCATTTTTGTGCAAAAGGTTTTTGTGGAAAAAAAAAGTAATGTGGACATGGAAGGGGTTGTGAAAAAAACCCCCGTCCACACTACTTTTTTTTCTACAAAAACCCTTTGCGCAAAAATGGCTTGCATAAATTATGGAAATGAGGTGTGGCGATATACTAATCCACGCCTCATTTGCATACTCACTGCCAGCAAAACTGGCAGTGTAGACAAAGACAAAGGGTATGTCTACACATTAAAATTATCTTGGGATACCAGAGTTATTCCAAAATAGCTACCTGCATCTTTTGAATGCATCCACTATTCCAAAATATAGCGGATGCATTATTTCACCATCCCTGTAACCTCATTGAACGAGGCGTAAGGGATGGCTCTAAATAGCACTTTATTTCAAAATTCAGTGCTGTTTAGACAGTGCCAAATTTCAAAATAGCCTATTTCAAAATAGACTCGAAATAAGCTACGCAATCTGCATTGTGCAAATTGTGTAGCTTATTTTGAGTTTAGGGTGCTGTGTAGACACACCCTTAATGTGGTTCACTGTCCCATGTAGTGGCACTTAGACCACTTACACTGAGAGCTCAGAACAAACGAGCTCTACAGCCTAAGTTAAAAAGCAGTTGGTTTCATAGCTCAAGCTGTAGAAGCTCCTACACTGAGGTCCCAGGTTCAAATCTGCCTGGTGGTAGTTACACCTGCACTGCACCTCTTCATGGTGTGACTTGAATTCAGTGCTTACATCACCTGTCAGCCTCACACTATGGTCATCTACAGGGCTTGCCGAGCCATGGCGAGTGCTGCTCGCCAGCCGCACTGTCTGATGTTATGCGCAGATTGCCCAAAACCGTCTCTTCCGGGATGTAATCTATTCGCCATGGGTGAGTAGATTACATAGATTGTCAAACCCTGGTCATCTGCCACAATTTATTGATGGATACTCTACTTACCTTCTAAGACCTACCATCCATTCAACCAGTAAA